CACGATATTTATATCTTAATATTTCATAGTTATATCAAACTGGATAGTAGGACATTAAACAGATAATACACGATATTTATATCTTAATATTTCATAGTCATATCAAACTGTATAGTAGGACATTAAACAGATAATACACGATATTTATATCTTAATATTTCATAGTCATATCAAACTGTATAGTAGGACATTAAACGGATAATACACGATATTTATATCTTAATATTTCATAGTCATATCAAACTGTATAGTAGGACACTAAACGGATAATACACGATATTTATATCTTAATATTTCATAGTTATATCAAACTGAATAGTAAGACATTACACAGATAATACACGATATTTATATCATTTTATTTCCTTGTATATCAATTGCATAACTATGTTAACAGAGATGTCTGGATCTTTTGAAGGAAGTTCTGTAAAGCGTCCTGCCCACTATGATAAAATCAACAAATGATGTAAAAGAAATAGAACAGCTAAGCCTATATTCATGTCTTCGATAACAAAGGAAAAAAGTGAAAATAATAATGAGTTTCACAGTATCGTATTTCCACTACACTCACCGTATTGTTAGCACTATCAACTGCAAGGATGCTCAGCATAAAAGATGGATTTTCTTCACGGTCTGGAGGCACCTCAACTGAGAGATCCCCCGTGTTTTCTTCGATCTGGAACTCTCTGTTAGGGGTACCTAAATATTGAACAAACTTTCACCATCAACCGTTTTACTCTGAATCAAACTGTCTGGTAATATTGAACAAACTCTCACGATCAGCCGTTTTACTCTGAATCAAACTGTCTGGTAATATTGAACACACTCTCACCATCAACCGTTTTACTCTGAATCAAATTTTCTGGTAATATTAAACAAACTCTCACCATCAGCCGTTTTACTCTGAATCAAACTATCTGGTAATATTGAACACACTCTCACCATCAACCGTTTTACTCTGAATCAAATTTTCTGGTAATATTGAACAAACTCTCACCATCAACCGTTTTACTCTGAATCAAACTGTCTGGTAATATTGAACAAACTCTCACCATCAAAATCGAAACAAGTACACTCTCATGTGTGTTGTATATTTCAAAATGTTTGATTATTTGATCCTACCGCCTTTCAAAGAGTGTGAGCTTTACCTAGACAAATAGCAGGTGGGTACAGGCAGTTGTTGTTATTAAGTACTAGATGGGTACTGGCAGTTGTTGTTTTTAAGTACTAGATGGGTACTGGCAGTTGTTGTTGTTTGTTGTTAAGTACTAGATGGGTACTGGCAGTTGTTGTTGTTTGTTGTTAAGTACTAGATGGGTACTTTCAGTTGTTGTTGTTTGTTGTTAAGTACTAGATGGGTACTGGCAGTTGTTGTTGTTGTTTGTTGTTAAGTGCTAAATGGTACTGGCAGTTGTTGTTTGTTGTTAAGTGCTAAATGGTACTGGCAGTTGTTGTTTGTTGTTAAGTACTAGATGGGTAAACAAATAAACCACATAGGTTGTTCAGGTAAACAAATAAACCACATAGGTTATTCAGATAAACAAATAAACCATACAGGTTGTTCAGGTAAACAAATAAACCACATAGGTTGTTCAGGTAACCAAATAAACCACATAGGTTATGCAGGTAAACAAATAAACCACATAGGTTATGCAGGTAGCAAATAAACCACATAGGTTGTTCAGGTAAACAAATAAACCATACAGGTTGTTCAGGTAAACAAATAAACCACATAGGTTGTTCAGGTAAACAAATAAACCACACAGGTTGTTCAGGCAAACAAATAAACCACATAGGTTGTTCAGGTAAACAAATAAACCATACAGGTTGTTCAGGTAAACAAATAAACGATACTCGTGGTGGGCGCAAACAGTTCATTATGTTGCTTAGCAACAAACAGAAACAAAAAAATGCGTGTTTTATAAAACGAAACTTGTTATCTAGTAATGTTCATCACATAAATAAACATGTATCAGTTATTTCTTATTCGTATAACTGTATTATAGGTTTTTAACATTAGATGCATATTTAACTAGATTGACACTCAGTGGAGCCGCGTTGATCATATTCGGCTCTCAAAAAATACGAAAATGTGTCCGTATGCTCGTCTTTATCAACTGACATGGACCATTTGTGTCAGGACAATGCTGACTAATAAGTCCACCAAGATTCACCAAAATCCAATCATTTTTGACTGAGATATAGGGCAAATATAGTGAAAATCGGTCCCCATGTTAACAGATATGGATTTTATGTATTTTTGTGACCTTGCTGTGACCTTGACCCTCCAAAAACTAATCACTTCTAAGTTGGGCCATAGTCCAAATATTTACCAAGTTTCGTCCAAATCCATTCGGCCGTTTTCGAGAAACCTTACTGACAAACATACAAACACATACACACTCACACACACAGAGGGGTGAAAACATAACCTCCGTCAACCTTCAGTGGTAGAGAGGACTAGTATTTATGGTTGTTCCTTTGTTTCTTTTAGCCACCGCAAAAATCGAACCCCGAATGTTAGCGTTGCAAGTCTTTAACTTCACCACTGAACCACCGGGCGGCGTAATTATTTATTTATTTGCGGTGATAACTGGACGGCGTGCGCGTGCATCATTCGCTAGCAGGTCTACTGAAATTTTCTAGAAATTACCCCTTCTGGCTAGCTTCACCACATTAGTGTAAGCATATTCAGCATCTTATCTAACTTATACTTCTAAGTGGCGTAGAGATCTGAGCCACACATGAGCACCATTGAAAGTGTGATGGGAGATAGATACTAAGGCTGTAAAACGGGGAGTGATGATTAAACATCACTATCAAACTCGAAAAAATAACTAAATGCATGAAATAATGGGTTCCCGAATCCTACTGGGTAATATCCAAGAGCTCTTAAAAGTTTTATGAAAATCCAATATTGGAAAAACTTTCGATAAACAAACACGATCCAAAACTCACCTCCGGCAATGAAGTAGCGCATCCTTCCTTGATCTAGTTCATCTTTGTCAGAAGCCACGAGCTGCGTAACCACGTGACCCTTGAGAGTGTTCTACGGAAAAATATTGTTATTCAAATTTCAAATTGTTAGTCAATAATTATACTTCTCGTCTTTATCAGATAAACCGCGAGATTTCATTAATACAACAATTAACTACCAGTGTAACAGTTATTACTGTAGCATGCTACGTTGTAAACATTCCGTAACGAAAGTTTCAACAGTTTTTACTCCAAAGTTTCAGTAACATCACTACATCATTATTTTACCCCAAAGTTTCAGTAACTTCACTACATCATTATTTACCCCAAAGTTTCAGTAACTTCACTACATCATTATTTCACTCCAAAGTTTCAGTAACTTCACTACATCATTATTTCACTCCAAAGTTTCAGTAA